AGCCCGCTGTCAGCGCGCGGGGAGGGGCCAGCGGCGCCTCTGGGCCGCGCTCGGGCTCCGGGGGGCTCGGCCCGGCTGAGGCTGAGGGCGCAGGAGGTGGAGGCAGGGCCCGGGCCGGGAGAGAAGGGAAGGCAGGGGAGAGGGGAAGCGCGCGGGGCGGGGCTTCGGGCCCGGGGGAGGGGCTCGAGCTTGGGGAGGGGGCTGCAGCCCAGCCGCGAGGTAGGCGCGGGCCGCCGCGCCCCCACCCGAGCCGAGAGCGCAGCCTGCGGCCTGGCGCCGGGAAAGCACAGGGCTAGTTCACTGGCACACGAAACCTTGGGTGGCTTCGAAGGGAGGAAGGATGGGGGAGCTCCACCCAGCGCGCCCCCATCCTGGCTCTTGGCGTCTCCACCCTTTCCATCTCGAAGTGGATCTGTGCCTTTTTGCCCCCCCCCACCTTCACGCCCTCTCTGGCCCTACCCCTGTCTCTCCTTAATGAAAAGTGGTTTATCACCCTGCTATTAACTGCCCTGGTAGCATAGTGCCTAATGCGTTTGACTGCTAACCAGCAGGCTGGTTGTTCAAACCCACCAGCCATTCCTCAGAAGGAAGGTTGGGCGACCTACTTCCGTAGTGATACCGCCTCGGAAACCCAAGGAGGGGTCGCCATGAGTCGGATCAGACTTGATGGCAGTGAGTTTGGTTTATTAACTGCCCAGGCCCCCCGGAGGAGGAGACAGGAATGGGGTGGGGGCCAGCTCTAAATCATTCAAGCCATAGCCTCTTCTGAGAAAACACCTATCCCCTGTGGGTCACAAAGGGTGAAATCTCCCCGGAAATGTGATCGATCCGTTGCCTGAATAGTCCATCGATTCGGGCCTGTGTAACTAACCGGTGACATCATTTGCCAGTGAGGTTACAACACTCAGCATAACACCACTGCTTTAAGCCCAGGACTCCCCTGGGACCTTCCTGGGTGAAGAGGGAAGGGAGCCTACAATGGTGGGAAAACCCACTGGGTTGGGGGCTAGCTCATCCCCTGCCCCAGCCCTTGGCTTTCCCACCACCCCTCCCTCTGGTCTCGAAATCTAACTTTCAAAGCCATTTGTTTGAGCTCCCGGGACTTGGAGCATAGTTACTATTTAATTCAATTTAGCTCCCCCCCACACACACATCTATTTGAACTTTTTTTTTTTCCATTCTACTTTTGAATATTTAAAGGGGTAGTGTTTTCACCACTAATGCAATGGTTTCACAGTCGCAACAAAACTTTGTTAATGTAGATCCGTATGAAACATCTGAAATGGGGAACAGTCTTGTGACCTAAATTGTATTAATATTTTCTTATCAAAAGCCAAAATGCACACCTAGTGTTACCAGGCCAGTGGGAAGTATGGAGCTTTCTCTCCTACAGGTTTCTTCTGCTCAAGTTCATGTTCAGTGTGGGTGCGAGTCCAGAAGGTGGAGTAGGAGTGAGAATGCTCTGATACCTCACTTGTTGTTATGTGCCATCAAGTCAGGCCCAACTCATAGCGACCCCTCCTTGGGTTTTGAGGCAGTATCATTACAGAAGTAGATTGCCCAACCTTCCTTCTGAGGAGTGGCTGGTGGGTTTGAACCACCTGCCCTCTGGTTAGCAGTCAAGTACCTTAGGCACTATGCTACCAGAGTTCCCGATACCCCACTTAGGTGAGCCAATTGCTCTGACTCACAGGAGGACCACAGGTAGGATAACCCCCTCCTCTTTTTTCCCTCCAACAGCTTAATACTAGCTCCCCTCACTAGAGCTTTCTCAGACTCAATTAATGCTTCCAGAACCTTTGAGATCCACAAATAAAGAGAAGCTAAATGCCATTCTAAGCCATTTTATCACGAACCCACAGGCTGTCTTGAAGCATTGTAAGACTTGGAGGTGGGCCAGAGCCCTGTCAAGTTTCTGTAGCCCAGTCCTTCCTTTGAAGAGGAGAGGGCCGGCCCAAGGTCTACATTGTCACCTCTTTTGGAGAAGGGGTGTAAAAATAGTATAGGAGTGGCATCTGACTTCCTCTAACTTCACAGGGGGGTCGGGGGATCAGATCAACAGCCCAAGGCTGATTCCTGTGAGGACGGGGTGATGCCATCTCCAAACTTTTTACCAATTCTGACACCAACTGTTCCTTCCACGCCATGTCTACTTCTCTGCTGGCCTTGGTAATTCACTGCAGTGGCCACACAGAACTCACAGGCAATACTCAATGATTATGGGGTTTAGTAGGGAAGTAACACATTACAATTCAGGGACAGAAATGACTCAGAATACAATTATTTAATCAGGACAGCTACTTCTTGGCTGTGCCACAGGTATGCTTCTCTCTGGCCTCATAGCCTCTGCCCTGTTCAGGCAAGTGTTCCAAAGCTCTTTTAGCTCTGTCAGTAGATGCCCAGAGAGGCACCCCACTCTGCCAGCAAACCTCCTGCCTGAAGGCACTCAGCTTTCTCGCTCTGTGGGCCACGAAGGCCACCGCTCTGTCTCGTCCCTTCTGTTCTACAGACGTTTAACAGACGTTTATTTACCAAGTGCCTCACATGTGCTGGCACACCCCAAATCGACTGAGGTAAATTCAAGGTCACAAGGCTGGTTTATGGTCGAGCCAGGACTAGAACCCAGGTTGGGCATGTCCTGCTCAGGCCTCTTCTCAACCCTTCCTCCCTTTCTTCCTAGGTACCACTTATGTCTGGTGAGATGTTTAAATAGACAACTATTTATCAAGTGCCTGGCATGTATAAAGACCTGAGCCAGGTGGGGTGAATGCTCCTTGGGGACAGAGACTATGTCTCATTCATTTATATACTCCCACTATTCCTGACACATAGTAGGTGTACTGGTTGGTCTGAGTTGAAAGCATCTGCTCTCAAGGAGTTCGCAATGCCTGTTTTATCACCTCCATCTGTGAAATGGAGATGACTCCATTTTCTTTTCCAGCTCAGAGAACACATGTAAGTTCAAACAACAAAAGAAAATTGGAAAGAAACAAAACAAAACAAAAAGGATAAATAAAGGAAGAGGACACATAACATATAAGGACACAAACTAACAGATACCTGCAAATCTCATTTTTCAAAACAGATAAATGTAGGATGCTTCCAATTAAGTGGAAGAATCAAGACCAAACCAAAACCAAACTCACTGCCATGAAGTCACATCTGCCTCATAGTGACCCCTCAGGTTTCCGAGGCAGTATCACTATGGAAGTAGATTGCCCAACCTTCCTTCCGAGGAGTGCCTTCTGGGTTTGAACCACCAGCCTTCTGATTAGTAGTCAAATGCCTTAGGCACTACACCACCAGAGCTCCTGGAAGAACCAAGAGAGAATGTTTATCCCTCTAATTTTATAGAGGGGAAACTGAGTCGCAGAGAAACTAAGCTAGTTGCCCCATGCCACAAAGCTCCTTAGTCCCATCCCCAGGCTTGAAAAGCACACTTTTAGTGCTTTTACAACCATCTGCACCCCCAGACATTGCTCTCCCCCTGAACTCCAAGTCTCCAGGTTCCAATTCTCTATCCACACCAGCATCATGAGCTGCCTGAGCTCTCCAAGAAGGCTGGCTGCTCCTTGAGGGCAGGGTTGGGAGTTTCTGCACAGTCCTCTGAGCACATGCCAATCCCATCAGCTCCTCAAGGCAGCAAGCAGAGCCTGGGTCCTCTCCAACCAAGGGCCTTCTTGACCACTCCATATGAGGGAAAGCACTGGGAGCCGTGAAGTGCTAATATACAGTTACGGCATAGTATGATTCTCTCTTCCTCCTCTGAAATTTTATGGCAACTGCTAATGACTCACCTGATTAATAATCACACATCGCATTGAGCTGTGACGCTCAGCCTGCACTGCGCCAGACTCTTATTTACATCTTTTATTGTGATTTAACTCTCCTAAGGAAAATTAGCATAGTGGCTAAGACACTTGCCTGCTAACCAGACGGCTGGCGGTTCAAACCCACCAGCCACTCCTTGGAAGGAAGGTTGGGCAATCCTACTTCCGTAGTGATACTGCCTCGGAAACCCAAGGAGGGGTCGCTATGAGTCAGGACTGACTCGACAGCAAATAACAACAACAACAACAACAAGGAAGATTGGGCAATCTGCTTCCGTAGTGATACTGCCTCAGAAACCCAAGGAGGGGTGGCTAGGAGTCGGAGACAACTCGACAGCACATTACAACAACAATATGCTTCACCATGCTTTCCAAACCAGTAAGAAGCCTGTGAGGACTTTCAGGACAATGAATTTAGACTTTGGCACCATCCTGTCCCTCCCCACCCTCACCACACTGCACCTGTGCCACCCACCACTTCTGCCACTCTGCTGCCTACCACCAGCCACCTGCCCCCACACACCCAGCACAGGACTTTATACATGCCAGGCACTCAATAAATAGTTGTTTGTTTAAACATCTCAGCAGACCTTTGTCAGTGCTTGTCTAAGGCATTTGACTGCTAACCAGAAGGCTGGCGGTTCAAACCCACCAGACATTTCTCAGAAGGCAGACTGAGATACTGCCTCAGCAACCCAAGGAGGGATCGCTATGAGTCAGAATCCACTTGACAGCAGTGAGTTTGGTTTCTTGGTTTTAAGAAG